GATTGGAACCGACTCTCTTGAAGTATGCTAATATCTCGCGAATCCATTTCTGTATAACTAATTTGATATGTATTTCACTGTATTTCTGTATTTCTGATATTCCTCAATGGCCAGGTTTGGACCGGCCCCAAGGACATTTGGTTCCTGTACCCGGAGCAACAGCAGGGAGTGCTGCACCAGCGTGTGTTGGATGATGGCATGGTCCAGTAGCTTGGCCAATGGGTTTCAAGATGCAAATACAGATACACTGATACACCTACAGCCTACAGCCTACACCTTAATTACCTTCAGCCTTGAGCCTTCATCACTTGTGGTGCAGTGCGCAGATTCAGAGGTTTGTAGGCTTGCCAGGGTGGAGATATTGGGGGTTTGGTGTTTTGGATTTGTGCTTGGAGGTTCAGGGTTTAGGTAGTTCCGGGCGAGAGAAGCCTGCTGCAAAAAAAGGTCGGTAGGACATCTGGGCTCGGCCTGGGCTCCAAATATCGTTCTTCGGGGTTATCCCAAATCAGCTGTGGGAGTGGGTTCCATATTTGGTTCGGGTTTGGCAGGATCTATGCAGTCTTAGTTTAGTTTTAGGGTTTCGTGAGCTAGGTTGGACAGTGGCAGGCTAATTTTTCGACCGATTTACCCAGCCATATAGCCTATATCATATAGCCATAGCCTCCATAGCCCATAGCTGTCAGGCTAAGCAGTGCTCAGCAGACGAACCGATTCGATGCGCGCTCGAAGCGCCTGGTGGAAACCCTGAACATGGCAGCGTTGCCAGAGTACAAGGCCGCCCCACCGCCGCTTGCAGCTATCGAATCCCCTGCTGTCTCTGGAGGCAAATCCATGGTTGATCCTTCTCCTTCTGAGTCTGCTGCGCCGGCAGCAGAAGCAGACGTCCAGCACGGCCCAAACTCGGACGATGAAGCCAAGGAAGCTGAGTTGCTGGACTTGACTGTGCGGCCCCAGAAGAAGCTGAAGACCGGCAAGGAGACGAATGGTGTACCCCTCCACGATAGCAGTACGTGCTGTGCCAACACGCAGTTGCAACAGCAAGTGTAAGCCATGCATCGGTTAGTTAGCTGAGTTAGCTGCCTGGTGCGACACAACATGTTTCATTTATGCATCTTCAAACCACGTAGTTTTCTGCACGAGCTACGCCGCTAACCTACCAGGAGGCAAAGGTGAAGAAAAGCAAGGAGGACATCCTGCAGGCGGAGCTGGAAAAGGTGCAGCAGACAGTCATGGGTCTCAAGGAGGCTTTGACGTCGTTCCCCGACATGCCGCCGAAGTTTGGGTATGACGTTGGCAAAGTGGACCGGAGCCTGGCAGCGCTGGTGAAGCAGTCCAAGGAGGCCAATTCCTATGACAAGCAGACCGATTTCACCAAGCTTGTGATTGAGGTGGCGGCCGTTCGAGATTGCGTGAAAGCCGCAACCAAGTATCTTCCTGCAGGTGGCCTCCCTGTCAAGAAGCACAGCGAGCCTTTCATGACAGCCTTCGAGGAAGCGACCGAGAAATGCCCACAGGTGCTAACCTTCTTCCCGGCCAGTGTGCGTGTTCAGTTTGCTGAGCTTGGGCTGGTGAAGCAGCTGAAGCAGAAGAAGTGGGACGAGATTGGCTTGCTTTTGTCCTCCAAGCGTCAGTTGGAGTTGGCTGAGGGTGACAACAACTTAGCGGAGAGGAAATCCACCAACATGATGGAGCGCATTTTGCATGTGATCTTCGAGGAGGCCTCCACACTCGGGTACCAGGCTGACAGCCAGGTGGGTCACAAGGACTTTGTGAGAGACATCTTCGTCGAGGCATGCGCAACCATCTTGGACGAAGGTCCTGTGGCAAGCTTGGTGCAAAGCCTCGAGAGTCTGCAGGCGATCGTGTCAAAGGACACTGGGGGCGCTTCCACCCTGGACGTGGTCCTCGACTTTGTGCAGAGCAAGACGGAAGAGCCTGTGGTCAGAGTCTTTGCCTCCAGCCAGATCGGGCGGCAGTTGTTGCAGGATGCGATGCAGTTCAATGCAAGCCTGCAGTCTGCAGCCAGTGCAGCCAGCACTCTCAATGCATTGATGAAGGAGATTGAGGATGCATCAGCAGAGGAGGATTGGGCAGCGTTTTTGCAGGACCCTTCCGAGGAGAGGTTGGAGCAGCTTTGCGAGCAGAACTTCGCCAACACGCTCAACAATCTCTGCGAGCGCTTGCTGCGCGTTGCAAGGCTTGATGGGGACCTCGTNNTTGGCCAGCTTGATTGGCAACGGCTTCAACACCATCCACAAGATGTTCATGCCGGCTTTGTCAAGCTGTGGTCAGATGATCCTCGCGACCAACGAGTTGGCCAATCTTGAGAGTGACTCCTGGGGCCTTTGCAGTAGCAAGTCCGTGCACTTCCTGGAGACCACTTCTGTATTGGCCATGGAGTTCGAGAGCCTGGTCATGCAGACGGACGGTGCCGTGCAAGTCAAACCTTGCCCTCCGGGACAGGCAAAGCTGATCTGCCAGTACGTGCCTGGGCTTACTTTCATGCCACACCTTCATGTGCTGTTGAAGCATATGTAAATAGAAACTGAAGTCAATCAAGTTGTATGTTTGTCAACTCCCCTCGCCTTCCATTCTTGTAGCCTGCGGATTGCTTCGCCTGTACTGTCTCTGAGCCTTTAACTCAGTTTCTAATTCTAACTTCCATAAACGTCTTATATCCCAATGAGTTTGCAACATCCAATTATATCGTCCTTGGTCCATAGGTCATAGGTCCATAAATCCACACGCTATGGCCATGGCTATAGGCTATAGGCTATAGGTCATGTACCAATCCATAAGTGCATAGGCCGCGTAGGCCGTTTATCATAAAATAGGTTGTAAGTTCCATAAGTCCATAGTCCATAGAGCTTGTGTCCTATTAAAGATGGCTTTTTGTCCTAGCAAGGACTGCAACTTCCATTCATAGCGCCATAGCGCCCTCAATCCTTTATTTCTTGAATGTTCTATCTATACAGTCATATGATGTAAACAGACTAATCGCAAATTATTATTGTTTTTATATATCTATCTCTGTCAAAACCGATATAATTCTATCATTCTATCTAGAGCCTAAAGCTACTAAGCTTTTTGCGATCTGGCTTGTGTGATGGAGGGTACGCAGGTGAAATTTACACAGACAGTAAACTGAGGTGGATATGCTCTCCAAGTTCCACGCGCTGTTGCAGAAGACCGATGCAGAAGGCAAGTCTTTGACGACCTGGCGCTCCTCGTGTGCTGAGTTTGTCGCGAAGGCACGAGGGCAAAGCGCCCGAGAGTTGGCGGTAGCCTTGCAAGTGTTCTCGGCATCCTTCCAGTCAATCTCCTCGATGTCCCACAGCTCTGCGACAAAGAGGGCCGTCAGTGTGGAGTTTGATGCTGTGCTTCTCTATTTCAAGAGCTTGATGGAGAGCTTGCTGCCCGAGATTTTCGAGAGCATCATTTGCAACTTCGAAGCATCTTGCTTGGAGAAGCAGGATTGGTGGAAGCGTGCGTGTGGCATGCTCTTCCTGCCCGAGCCTGGGGCAACCACCTTTGAGAGCATCGATAGGGCTGCGGTGTTTGAGCTGCCAGCGCAGCAGCTGTCCTGTTTGCAGGGTATGCATGAAGCGTTGCAATCCATCCAGGTCCAAGTAGATGAGACGAAGCTTGCCAATTGCAAGCGCCTTTATGCAAGGTCGCTCATCCTTCATGGTGCCACGAACTTCATCAGCATGACCAGAGTGCATGAGAACCCCAACGAGGCGAGGTTGTTGGAGATCACCCAGGCGATCGAAGGTTCCCTGCGCGATGGCGTGGTGAAGGGCTTTGCCAGTTTGGCGAGCTGTGGCACAGCGGCAGAGATTGCAGACATCTCAACCTGCGTGACCAATTTTGTGAGTGAGATGTTGGCCAAGACGTTGCTCACCTACCTGTGCAAGCACCTTGCCCAGGCAGTCAAGCTCATCCCTGAAAACCTCGACAATTGGCTTGTGGCCAGAAACACATCGATGATCAAGAACCAGGTCCTGAAGCGGGAGACCCACCAGGCCATCCTTGGCTCGTTCGAGCAGCTGACGAAGGTGCACGAGTTGTTGGATGGCTTGATCGTGGACATGGCAACGATGGTGCCCGCACATATGCTGAGCAAGCTCAAATCGGCGACCAGGGATGTCAAGGTTTTGAAAGGGTACTCAGCTACTGTGCACGGCGTCAATTTGATCCTCCACCGTCTCCCTCAGAAAACTTTGAAGGAGAAGGCGGCTATCGTGCGGGAGCCACTCAGCATCATTTGATGTTTCAGTCCCTAAACTGCCTGAACCATGAAAAATGAAGCCTAAGCCTAAGCCTAAACTCTAGACCTAAACCGCCTAAACCCTAAACTGCCCAAACTGTATGGCCTGTAGCCCGTGTAGCCTAAAGCCTAAATCGCACTGCTTTCTGGATGTCGGGTCGGCAAAGCTACAAACCGCTTTGTAGCTTAAGGCAAAGGGTCCTCACCCCACAGCCTCGGAACTCCGAGGTCGGTTCAAGCTTAAGGCTTACGGTCTAGGTTTTCCGGTTTAGGTTTAGGGTTCAAGCTAAGGGCTGGGGGCTTTAGTTTAGGTCGGTCTCATTGTTTATTGTATAATTATATGAATATGATTCATGGTTTGAGACGGTTCAGGGCAGTGTGCGTAGGCAAGGTTTAGGTTTGGGCTAGCGGCTTGCATCTAGGCGCTTTCGGTTTAGGGCCATGCCTATCATATCACCCTGAGGTACAAAAAGGCGATGGAGCGAGCGGGACAACACCCGTCGAAAGCACTGTTCAGCTGGCTGACTGAGGCAGCCATGTGAACCGCGCGCAGTGAGCGTGTCAAGCCATTCCCTGGCTGTGAGGTGTGAATAGCCTGAATAGCCGTAGGTATCGTGTATTCTAAAGCCCCTAAGCCTATATTACACCCATAACCTATAGCCCACAACTTATCGGCTTTGGGCTATAGACTTTGGACTTTGGCCCATAGCCTATGGCCTATAGCCTATGGCCTATAGTCTATAGTGCCTATAGCCTATGGCCTATAGCCTAATAGCCTGTAGCCTATGTCATTGCCCCATCTACCGACAGCGACCGAAGCGTGTACCTATACCATGTAGTTGTGTAGCCATATAGCCGTGTAGCTGCAGGGCCCGGTATATAGACAGTACGGGCGTGCCAGGGGCTAGGCTGCGCTTTCTGTGGCTGGCCAATATTGGCCTGAAAGAGGCATCGACATCGACATTTGATCCAACACCTGCACGATGGCAATGCTGAAGGTGTAAACCTCTAAGCTGTAACTCGTGAGCCTGACCCCGTGCTGCAAGACGAACTAATAAGGCCCGCCTACGTTCTTGTGTCGTGTCGAGGCCCCGTTTTGCTAGATTGGCAGCACTGCGGACGGACGGACGGACGGACGGACGGACGGACGGACGGACGGACGGACGGACGGACGGACGGACGGACGTGCCAATCCTTTTAACTTTACAAGCTTGCTTGGGCTGGACCGGCTTGCAGCAGGCAGCGGCATATGGTGTGGTTCAGATTCAAGGGCCTGGCTCAGGATTGCGGTGTATGTTCTGATTTGTGGAATACAGATCGACTCAACTGAACCGTAAACCCTAAACAAAGACTCACCTCTAGCACCACCTTTTTCCAGCTGCGCCTGCTGTGTGGCATAGGAGTGCAGCATAGTGCACACGAGACACCTACGCTGATCAAGAAAATTGAGTGGGCATTTGAGTCTGCTGGCAGCTAGTGGTTGAATTGAGGGGCCTCTTGCGTCGCAAGGTGCAGCACGCAGATTTCAGGCTTCCGAGAAAAGCACAAGCCTTCCGAGGATGAGAAACTCGCGATCCTCTGTGGGGGATGTCAGGCCGGGATTTAGGGTCGGTTTAGGTTAGGGCGGGCACCAAATGTAAGGGTTTTTGGGGTTCGAAGGTTGCAGATACTGCGGTTTTTGGGTTTCAGGGCCGGATGCTTCCTTTTTCCGCTAGTGCTGCCGTTGCTCTTTCGTTTGGTGTCCGTGTCGGCATGCCGTCGAGCTCGCAGTCAGGCAACCTGAACGATAGACGATAGCCGATAGCATCAGGCACCGGCAGCACTGCACTTTGAGTCATCATGAATGGTAGGTAGTTCTAGTCCTAGTGCACGGGGGCAAGAACAGCGAGTGTGAGGCTAACAACGGGTGCAGCGACAATAGCAATACAAGGTCACCATAATATCACTAAGATTATGACAGCGAAGCATTGGAAGTGTAGGGGAGCAATCCATTTAATTTAATTAAATTAAATTAGGACAATAATACAAAATGAATACGAACCAGATACAAACGAAAATAGGATTGGTACAAAAAATACAAAATAAGTACGATATAGAAATAGGCGGGGAAGAATACGAACCAGCTGGGAAATAATAAAGAAAACAACATAACATGAAATGCCCGCGCAAATAAGGGACATTTTCGTTACACGTTTTGTTCGTGTATGTTTTACACTATGTTACTATGTTGTCTTGAGTCTGGTGTGTTGGGGCCAAAACTGATTTATTGTTCGTCCTATTTGTGTTTTATTTTTTCCTATTGTTTTCGTATTTATTCCCTACTGTTTTCGTATTCTAGAAATATGCCCTGGCCAGCAACCTGATGAGGATAGTCCAGGATAGTCTAGTATTGATAGGTGGAACCAGGGTATCCGTGGTGCCAAGCGACGTCATAGCCACAACAATAACACTGACGACTCGATCAGGGCAGCCGTGCTCGTGTACTGGGACGGCCGGCTTCATGGCTTCAGGGTTTCATGTTAACCCTAAAAACGCGAAACCCTAAACCCGGAGCCTTGCCGGCCCTGTGCGAGTGTGAGAATCGAAAACCCGGAGCCCTAAGCCTAAACCCAAAACTCGGAACCCTAAACCCTATGCCTTTACCGTATACTGTATACTCTGCACCGGTTTCAGGGCTTCAGGTTCAGGCAGCTCTGGTTTTTCGGCCTTAGGGGCCCTGCAGATTCGGAATTTGAGTTCACGAGTTTAGGGCTTGGCGGGTGGGACGTTTAGATTGGATTCTGGTATCGGACAAAAGCTGTTTGGGTTGTAGGGGCTGTGGGGTGTATGGAGTTTCCCGCTGCAAGGTTTTGTGCTTTTGAAGGCTGCATTGGGTTTCTGTTTTTCGGCTTTGCTGTGGCGGCTTTACGCCAGGGGGTTGTTTCCTTTCGGGTTTAGGGTTTACGGTTTAGGCCCTTTTAGGCTTAGGCTATAGGCTATAGGCTATATAGGCTATATAGGCTATAGGCTATATAGGCTATAGGCTATAGGTATGGACCGGTATGGACTTGAAGGCCCAAGGACCTCAGATCCTAAACACAACCCAGACACCTTTTGTTAACATGGGGATTTGAATTATTCGCAAGCCTTACGGTTTCCGATTTTACTGATAGTGTCAACTCCCCAAAATGCTAGTCTAATTCTTTAGAGCCGGTATATGAAACCCTAAGGCCCTTAGCTGGGAAGCCAAAACCCTAAGCTTTAAAACTCTAGAGTCCTAAACGGACGCCAAAGCCCCAAACCCCCTCGCAGGAGGCGTAAATGGCCTGAGCGGCTCTGTTTCCACTCAGCGCGCTTTTGCTGACTCTGTGCCGGCTGGAAGCTGGCCGTCTACTGGGTTCAGAGATTCACGGTTTGGTTGAATTGCTTAAACACGGTGTCCTGCTGACAAGCTCAAAGAAAGGTTGAAGGGCGTAGAGTTTAGAGCTTATATTATATTTATAGTCAGTCTATAGCCTATAGCCTGTAGCCAGGTTGAGGTGTGTGAACGCTGTTGCTGTTGGAGATTCTTGGTACTCATTGGTACTATAATCACCTCTCTCAGCCTTCCATGATGATTTTTTGTGTATTAATCATGCTTGAGAGAAAAATGTTGCTCTCACTCATCGCTTTTGCTAGCGAAGCTCTACAAGTCATCGGGATTAGGCTTTGGAAGATGTGCGAACAACTCTTGATCTTGTTCTTGTGGTGATGATGATATCGATATCGTCGATATCGATGACCGTAGAGACAACAGTTACATTCTTGACAGTCTTGACAATACTGGTTGCCTGCAAGATTGACTATCCGGAAATCTCTCTCCCCTTTAATCATAGCCCCAAACCCTATTCTAGCTATTAATGCCCCTATGACCCCTAGCCCTATGTTAGAGCATCCGCAAGAAGAGGTCGGGTTTAGGCTTAGGATTTGCAGTTCGAGGTCTCGACTCCAATCCTGGGGCGGTGTAGGCTTTAGGGTTTCGGTTTAAGTTTACGGGTCTTAGCGCCTAGGGTTTAGGCGGTTTAGGGTTCGAGAGGTGGAGTATAGGTTGGATACTGTTCCCATTCAGCAACAGTTGTTGAATAATATTCATAATATGGATATACAAGGCCCGTAATAAAAGCCCTATTATAGACTGTTACTGTATGGAGGCAGTACCCAAAGTGTAGGGTTTAGGGTGTAGTAGGTTTTGGGTAGCGACGGCGAGATCGAAAATCTCGGCTGCGGTCCACCGAGCTGGCGGATGAGATGATGCATCTCATCCGCAAGCTCGGTGGACCGGTCAGGTAGGCGAGCGCGACTGATGGCCGCTTCGCTCTGAGAGGGTTTCTGAAAGCTTCCCACCACTTGCCACGTAGCAGGGTAGCCACAGGGACAGCGTCGTAGTTGAACAGTTTATATAGATTTGGGGCTCAGGGTTTGGGTTTAGGCGGTTTAGGCTTAGGGTTGGGGCAGATTCCAAGTCTGGCTGGATGACTTCCTTCGTTCAGCACCCGGATATCAGCTGCTCATCTCATGTGACCCTAGAACCCAAAACTCCCAATCCTTTACGGTGTAGGTGTAGGTGTAGGGAGCAGGGTTTAGGTTGGGGTTAGGGCAGCCTCTCAACGGGAAGTTGCAACTCAAAACGCCCTGACTTTCCCCCTTTATCATATCATTTCTGGCCCTAACGACGACTACTTCCTCGGATTCTGGATCCTCTGAGTGAAGACCACTTGCAGGATTGCAGGGTTTAGGAAGTAGTAGGTAATAATTCGGACATATGGGCTCCTGAACTTAAAGACTTTAAGGCTTTAAGTAAGGCTTTAAGTAAGGCTTTTTTGGGTTTCTAAACGCCAGATTACAACCCTAAGCCCGAAGCCCCAA